AAACCAGCAGTTCAATTCCAGGCTGCAGCAAAGTCACATTGAGCAGAGGACTCAACTGGTTCCTGTGGTCTTGTCCCGGTGGCCGTCTACTACAGTAAATGATGGCGATTTGTAGATTAAAAAGTCTTCTGACTGTATCATTGTGCACAGTGTTTCTGCTGTTTGTCAGCGCTGTTTCATCTGGCTGTAAACAGAATGATTTGTGTTCCTCACTGAATTCAAGCGCTTCACACTGGATCTCACAGCACTGTTCAGTGGTCACATGACAGAGACTCATCAGCGAGTGAAAGCATCTGCTTTACCGTGCGTTCCAAATGGGATATATTGCCCTCTGAAGGGCACTTCGGAGTGAAAACAATCATGGCCGCCATATTAAAGGGTCGTTCCAAACCTAAGTGCTCAAAACTGGCCACTTCAAAGGGCCCTTCGGAATGAAGGATTTCGAAGGGTACAACTGATGGACACTTCGGGCTCCCATGATCATTTGCGCAGATTCTTTGCATGATGACGGCACCTCCGTGTAGGCATGTGATGATGATGCAGAAGGGCACTTCAAGAAACATGGCCACTTCAAAGGGCCCTTCGGAATGAAGGATTTCGAAGGGTACAACTGATGGACACTTCGGGCTCCCATGATCATTTGCGCAGATTCTTTGCATGATGACGGCACCTCCGTGTAGGCATGTGATGATGACGCAGAAGGGCACTTCAAGAAACAGTTGTTTGGTCCCCTACACCCTTCAACCCTTCGAAGCTCTCACTCCGAAGGGTAAACCCTTTGAAGGGATTAGGGCACAGGGATGAGCCCTTCCGAATGGAATGCAGGGCTGGTGAAGCTTGCGCTGCTTTTTTAACTTTGATCCGAGCGGATAAACGCTTCAAATGACTAGCGCTCTTTCGTTCTGCCTTTGCCGCAAACATTATATCGAGCATTTATTAAACCCTTGTTATCATTTAGCGAGGAAATTTATATCGCGCGATAATTATCGTTATCGATTTATCGCCCAGCCCTAGTGTAAAGGCTTTAAAATTGAAGTATGTGAACAACACATCATTCTTTAAAATCTGAAATCCTTTCTAGCATACAGTACATACTTACTCGGCAACTCGATTTGGCTGAATATTTTTGCTACTACAGCATCTGGACGATATGTTGCATAGAATTTTGTTTGTTATTAGTTGTAGTAATTAACACAAACACTGCATCATCATCATCATCAATGCATCAGTTTGCTTGGCCACTCAATGTATCTGTAGGTACATGCGTCTGCACATTTAGGCCTCACCTGGTCAGTTTTCTGGTGGAAGTTAGCAGACATCTCCAGCAGCGTGCTCCTCTCATCCAGTGCAGCGGCAAATGCTTTCCACTCCTGTTCCAGCTGACCTGAGATCTGCTGAATCTGCTGGGTTGCATAGTGACCTGACTCCAGCAGCCTGTTCCCCACAGACATGATCCGACTGATGTTCACATACACATTCTGCAAAAGACCACAAGAAACACTGAGTTCTGTATACACTGCATAACTTCCTGAATGAGGTTTTTTTTTTTTTTGGGACATATTTATACTATACAAGGGGTATGTGGTACTGGTACTGGCCAAGAGGAACAATTATGGTTAGAGTTCAGGTCTACCCATTTCAGCCAATTAAATAAATGTTCCAGTGTGATTTAAAGGGTTAGTTCACCCAAAAATTCTGTCATTAATTACTCACCCTCATGTCGTTCTAAACCCGTAAGACCGTTCATCTTCGGAACACAAATTAAGATATTTTTGATGAATTCTGAGAGCTCTCTGACCCTCCCATAGACAACAATGTCATTACCACAATCAAGGTCCAGAAACGTAGCATTGAGATCGGTTAAAAAAAATCAATGTGACATCAGGGGTTCAACCGTAATTTTACGAAGCTACGAGAATACTTTTTGTATGCAAAAAAAACAAAAATAACGACTTTATTCCACAATTCGTCTCCTCCACATCACCCTGGTGCCATTTTAGAGAGTATCCACTGAACGTAAACAGCGTATGCTATTCTGTGTCAGCTGCATCACGCGGATACGTTGTCTAAATTGTTTATGCTTAGATTTGAACGAAAACAACATATCCGCGTGACGCTGCTGACTATGGGAGGGTCAGAGAGCTCTCAGAATTCATCAAAAATATCTTAATTTGTGTTCTGAAGATGAATGGAGGTCTTACGGGTTTAGAACGACATGAGGGTAAGTAATTAATGACAGAATTTTCATTTTTGGGTGAACTATCCCTTTAACAACTGAAACTACAACTTATGAAAATGCACTGTAAACAAACGTTCAGCATGTTAAACTGCTCATAGCTCTGACACAAAATATCTTAACAGATATAAAACGAGACCCAGTCACAGTATGCCATGGTATAAAAATTTATGGTTATCATACAATGTGCATTTTCTTTTCTATAGTATTAAAAATACACGTTTTCATGATAAGAAATGAATACTTTCAATTAATTGTTGTTGAGTTAGACAGCTAGATAGCATAATATTTTTCATAAATCATCACACATTGCAGTAAATATGTAGAACACATCAGAGAAAATCCAAATGTTTACATTTTCAGTGGCTGGGGAAAACAATATTAATCAGTAACACCACACAGCATAATTTTTCCCTATCCAATGTTTCTTTCAATCAGTCTTTGGATAGAATCAAGCTCCACCCTACATTATTTCCACCTAAATACTCTGTTTCACCTGGAAACACATCACATAATCAGAGAAAGCAAGTGTTTGCTCTCTGACGTAATGGGAGCATCTGAGGTATGCATGTTCTTTAGGGAGAACTAAAGTCTAGTGCATGAGAGTGCTGGTAGAACGTAGAGCTCTGGTTACCATGCTATTTCCTCATATGGGGCTAATTACACAGCCCAGAGGCATTCAAAAGGGTAGAGGATCAATACACAGAGAGCTGTCAGATGAAAACCTGATGGGGGTTTGATAATGGCCTGCGTGCAACAATAAACTGCATTGTCGTGTCCATGCATGTGAAAACCTGGAGCAATAACAGTCACATATAAAAACACACACAAACTTTTGAACCCTTAGCTTTATATCAAGTCCGAGTGCAATACAATGTGCAATGGATGCACAATACTATGGTGATTATATCAGTAATTTTATCATTTTTTATTATTGTTATTGATGTGAATCGGTGCACCCGTCTGTTACACATTAACATACGACACATAAACACACACACTCACCCATGGATAATTCTATGAACTGTGCACATGTGCAGATGTGCACACCCACTAAATCTGTTGTCAATAAAAAAATAAAAAAATAAATAAAAAATTCATTTTAAAGATGACCATTTCTAAATAATCCAGCCTGCATATGTAGATAAGACAAGCCACTGGTGCCCACATGCACAAATGTATTTCCACCAGATGAAGTCAGGATGGAAAATAGGGTTACTAACTCTCTATATCACTCACTCACGCCGAGCTTGGTTTCAGAGCTGCTCGGAGAAGATAGATATGCACCAGTAAACCCAAATTCATCAAATCTCTCTGTTATGTATGACAGGCCTTGTGGATCGCATCATGGAAACAATTAAGAGCTTCTGGTTTCTCATTTTCATGTAAATCTAAAGCAGCTTAAAGTAAACTCTGGCTAAACATATGCTAAATATTATAGGTGCTATTGTCATGTCAATGACCAGCCTGTGGTTTATTAGCAAAATTGACTTTCACATGGAGGGTACATCAAATAAAATCAGTTTGTATGATTTACATAAATTTACACAACTCAAGAATCACGTTTGTTGCAGAAATGACACCGAACAAAGTGTAAATTGTATCTGCACAGTGCACACATATATGTTATGTTTTAGAAAGATGTCTTTTATGCTCACCAAGGCTGCATTTATATTCAAAATCATAGTAAAACAGTAATATTGTGAAATAATATAATAATTTAAATTGACTGTTTTCATTCTTATATAAGAAATCATTCTTATATGCTCAAGTAACATTTCTAAAGATTAAGATTATCATAGTTGAAAACGGTTGTGCTGCTTAATATTTTTGTGGTATCTGAGATACATTTTGTGATGAACAACATTTATTTATTTATTAGAAACAATGTAAAAGCCTTTACTGTCACTTTTGATCAATTTAATACATCCTTGCTTTAAAACAGTATTATTGCTGTTCCCTTTTGAACTTTTGAACGGTAGTGTCTGCGTATACATTTTAATTTTATTTTACACACATTCCATTTTTATATTTACATTGTATTTATTTATTTATTTATTTATTTTTTATGTTTTGTTGTAATACCATATAAAAATACTAATTCACACATACACTGCTCTGATGATTGTTTTTACTTTTTTTTTTTTCATCATAAGTATTTTGGTTAAGCACCTGGAACAACTACATTTTGGATATAAATAACTTTTGCAATACCATCAGGCATTATCTCACCCCTAAAACAGACACTGAAATGCCAAGTCACTTGAGCTCAAAATGAGTACAGACGAAGGAAGTGCTCTACAGTACCTACATTTACACAGATCATATTACAGGACCTGAACACAGCCAAAACACACATACTGCAGAACAAAAGCCTTCCTCACACTTCATGACAGTACTGGACCCTGCAGTCTACTTAAATAGAGAGAGTCACGCAAGTACAGTCTGCCCTTCATTCTCAGACTCCCAGGTTTAATATTATTACAGAAACCCTCTTTTCTCTTACAACTACAGGATGATTAGAGAAGGAGTGTCTGGAACATTATATCTCCCTCTGGATATCTCTGGGACTAATCAATACACCAGCATGATGGGAGATTACCCAGCCATGTGTAAAATGCCTTTAGCCAGAGGAGTGTTTTCTACATGTTGTCCTCCAGATTGTCTTTCATAAGAGAGTGGGAGCTGAGTTAATTTACAACTTGACAAGCGTAACGTTCCACTCAGGTGACATTACCCCTGGAACTCAATGATGTAGCTGCTTAAGCATGTCTATTACGAAAGGTTACAACCAGGCCCCCAGTGTGCCATGTGATGAACATTGACATCTCCATAAATCGCCTATTGAATTACTGTCAATAAATGTGGCAAATGCCACAGAACCTGCAGGCTATTAACCCCAAGCCTACTGTATCATCACCAAAATTCTCTAAATATTCCTAATTACAAACAAGATCAAAACACGCATTCTGTTTTTTTTTTTGGTCGTGGTTCTGTGAAATCTTTCCTGATTTTAGTAGGTAATATAAAAACAACTTTTATATTGTTAGTGCCCTGATCTTGACCGAGACTCCGGATTATTATCACATTTAGTCTCCGTCTATTGTGGTTACTAAATAAATCCTTATTTTGCACTTGCACTTGGATCCTGACTCTTTTCTCCCATGACAGAACGAACCGACCAATACATGGATCCAGCGAGTGCGGCAGAACTCAGGGACTTTTTGTATAAAACTAACATTCGCATGGAGCGTCAGGAGGATCAGATGATGGCTACGGGCGTGCCGTCCAGGCCCTGGTTGTTCAGGTGTCTGAGCTTACCACCCAGATCCAGCATCTAAAGGCAGAGACGGCTTCAGGTCAGCAACCAGCCATGCTTCATCCACCGGTTTCGGTGGGCCCGATTGTCCGCACCCATGAACCTCGGCTACCACCTCCAGCCTTTTATTCTGGGGAACCCCAGTTATGTCGTTCTTTTCTGGCCAAATGTTCGCTGTACATTTCCCTCCAACCGTCATCGTTCCCCACTGAGGAGGCTAAAGTGGCGTTTGTGATAACGTTGCTCTCTGGACGAGCGGCTAGCTGGGGAACCACCGTGTGGGAACAGGGACTTCCTTGTTGCTCTTCCTTTCAGGCATTCTCTGAGGAGCTACGGAGAGTCTTTGATCATGCTGCTTCAGGCAGAGAGGCAGCACGACTTCTCGCCGAGTTACGCCAAGGACAGAGCACGGTCACAGACTATTCAATCGAGTTTCGCACATTGGCTGCAGAGTGTGGGTGGAATGCAGAGGCACAGTGGGACATGTTTCTGTTTGGACTTTCTGATACGGTTAAGGACGAGATAGATTCATCGGAGTTACCTACTGGGGTGGACGAACTCATAGCTCTAGCTATTCGGGTGGAGAAGCAGCACGACTTCTCGCCCAGTTACACCAAGGACAGAGCACGGTCACAGACTATTCAATCGAGTTTCGCACATTGGCTGCAGAGTGTGGGTGGAATGCAGAGGCACAGTGGGACATGTTTCGGTTTGGACTTTCTGATACGGTTAAGGACGAGATAGATTCGTCAGAGTTACCTACTGGGGTGGACGAACTCATAGCTCTAGCTATTCGGGTGGACACCTGATTGCGGAGGCGGGCTCCACGACAACTCCGAGAACCGCCGTTCTCTTCACAGAGTCAATTGCCATCACTCACCAGTAAAACTGTGTTCTCTCTTCCAGAACCCGAGCCCATGCAG